ACAAACAGAAATGAATTACAGATTATGGTGCTGCAAATGCTGTCTCTGCAGCTGTACTGTCAGTTCATAAATAATCAAGGTGGTTTTATTTTTGAGGTGGTGGAAAATTGTCCTGTGTGACAAAACCATCAACACTGCCCAGAGTGATGTATAAAGAGAAGTATAAGCTGATGAACTCTCATGTCAAGTTGCAGTGTTATGGTGCCTTGCAGCAGAGAGGAAAGTCTGATACAGTCTGGTTCATGTATTCTAGTTAGGCCAGCATGTAAACATATTTCATTCCTCACAGTTATGTTTTTGTCAGGCTCTGTGTCACTGTATGCTACAAGGTCACAAGCAGGGGAGTACCAGTCACACCTGCAAAACAAGATATTTACAGAATCTGGGCTTAAAATGGTTTTTTTTCTGACTGACTGTAGAAGTCAAGAGTGGGTCTTTTATACTTATCCAAGGTTCAGAAGAAGGTGAAGCAGAAGTAAGCTATAACATTTAGTGTCTGCCTGGAGCAAAGTACAGAGAGTTGCTACAGCAGGGAGATAATAATATAAAATAATGTGTATGTCCATGGATGCAGAAGTATAACTGTTTCTACAGTTGCTATTAATACAAATTTGTATTAACTGTTGCTATTAATACAAATTTATGGAGGCATTGCAACACAGAGCCACTCTACTGGCAGTCTAGACTGATGGATCCAGCAGGCTGTACCCTGCCTGCTGCAGGGGCCATCTGCAGGCACCTCAGGAGCATCAAGGACAGGCCAGGCTTGTGTAAGATTTGCCCTAAGCACTTTTCCAGATCCCAGATATTTTTGTCTCAAGGGATTTCCAGACCTGCTATTGTTTGTGTGTTTAGGGTGTGCCTGCATTAGCATTTTAGTTTTGAGTAGGGTCTTTTTTAGTGTGAAGCTTTGACTCAGCAGAGCAGTCCTAGGGCACCCAAGTGGAGTCCTTCCAGTCAAAGCTAACCTGGAAAATGTCCTCCAGAACAGCTCCTAATTGCTCCAAGCCCTTCTGAGGTGCCCAGGAGATCAGATCAGAATGCACTTGCACTGGAACCACCTCTCAGAACTGCCAGCAGAACCTGATGTCGTTGCCACCACTTGCCTGATCCCACAGATCCAACTTGCTAATGTGGTGCAGCTGTAGCACCCCTGAATGCTTCACTTCCAGGGATGTCTTCAGGCCCCTCTTGAACCCATGTTAGATATTGAGAGGCTGGCATGGGTTTGGTTTTTTTTTTGGGAAAATGTGTACAAATCTCGTAGGTTTTATCTGAATTCCTTGTGTTTAACGAGGCTGCTGCCAGCTCCCTTTGGTGATCTGGCTTTTGTGTTGGACAAGCGATGGATCTGATCCTCACCCTCTTCTTTGCTCATGATTATGTGGAGGGCAGGGTTTTCTACTGCACTTACTTGGGTTTGTGATGCTCAAGGACAGGATAAAATTGAATTCAGTGCTTTAGAAAAATCATCATTTCACTTGGCTAGTATTAAAGTGTCTGGTACAATGAAGTCAGCTGAAGTTGAACAAATTAACCTTCTCTTAGCAATGATTATAGAGTAATGAGTATAGTGATAACATGATTTGTAGCTATGTAAATTGATTTCAGCAAGTATTTTGATGCCCCTGGCAGTTAAATCTTTTCACTTAACATAATTAACAATTCACTTAACAATTTTAAAAGTAAGCTAGGCTAAGGCAGTTTGGCAGGAATTGCAGCAGAAGGATAAAAAGCTGTTTAGGAAATCATGTCCAGAGAGAAGTCAGTGAGAGCTCACTGTTAAATCAGAGGGATGGCTGCAGCACATTCCTCAGTGTCTGCCTTGGGCCTAGCACCAGACCACATTTTCATTAATCACTATGTGACGGAACAGAATGTGTTTGCCTATTAAATATGTAGATGACACCATGCTGAGAGGGGCTGTGAGGCCTTTGGAGACAGGATGAGAACTCAAAAAATGGAGATGTGATCTGAATAGGAGCAGGTGTGAGGTATACATTTAGGCAGGAATGAAGAACTGCACAAATGTGGGACAGGGAATGTTGGCAGCTTCTTCCAGGCTCTACCTTTCCCTGCAGACTGCTCTCAGCACTGCAGATATTAGTGGCACACAGAGTACCCTCAGCCACTGTTGTTTTTCTTTCTCCAGAATTTGTCAGGGCTGGGCATGTCGAGGCTCAGGGCTCAGGTGGACACTGAATTCTTTAACTGGGTTTCCTTATGAGGCTCTGAGAGTGACCATTGGACACTGAGCTGGTGAACATCCATGCACACAGAGGCTTCCCTTCATGGGCATGGAAAAAGTTTTTTGCACACAATGTCGTGTTTTCCCCCACTGGTGACTGCTGTCTGTCACACTGTTTGTAACACACTGATCTCCTCAGCAGGCTCAGAAGCTGCAGGTATAGCAATGTTGCTTGTTCAGTCATGTGCAAGGTTTGGCCAAGTCTTCAAGAAACAACCAGTTCAATGTCACTTCTTCCTCAGAGGACAATCTAGGAATGTCCAAACTAATATTTATGGAAATGTTGTAGAAAATGCAAATTTTTTCCAGCCAAGTGATGTCCAGGGGAGGATAGCCTGCAGAACATTCAGGAAGTCAAGCTTTGCTTGATTTTGCTTTGCATTGTTTTGTCCAGTTTGGTGAGACTGTAGAGAATGAGAATCAGAGCCTAGCAAAGAAGATTGACAGGGAAGGGTTAATCTAACAACAAAGGGGATCTGTGAACAGTCTTCAAATGCATGCAGATACAATGAAGGGAATAATTTTCCCCCCACTTTCACAGATTAAACTTCTACTGCTGTAATGAATGCTGAAGTTGTATGTTCTGATGGTGCAGCTGTCCAAGCAGCAGAGATTTCCTGGAGAGATCCGTAAGAGCAGGACAGACAAATGTTTTTGGGAATGATGGAAGTACAGTGGTCCCAAGAAGGGGTCCTGAGGCAGGGTTGGGGGTCCTTCTGTCAGGTGAGAGTCTGGTGCATCCAGACAGATGACCTGGGAAGGGGAAATGGAAATGAGCCTCCTCCACCCAAACTTGCAGCCCTGTGTTTAAAGTTTTGAATGAAGTATTCATAAGTGAAAGTGTTGCTAAGATGGAGAGCTGCATGCCTCTTACACACAGATTTTCTTCCCTGCCCCCACCATGCTCTGCTCGGTGTCCTCACTCGTTTAGGTTTCCTTGTTTGTTTATTTGTCATGGAGTTTTGTTTATACTCTTTCCATCTCACCTGTTCCCTGCTTGTTTTAGTATTACTCCAGCAAGTTTAATTCTTGAAACTTTCAGGCATAACATGTCTGTAAGAAAAAATTCTAAAACTGGGCACCAAAGCCAAACTCCTAAAAACAGTGTCAGAGACCAAAAACAGCTGAAATTTAAATTAGTCAATAGAAAATGCAATTTTTCATTACATCAAAGTTTTGAAGTACATATTTAGAACATCATATCACCAGTATACCTGTCGAAGAAATTCTGGTCTGTTTATTTTATGGGGGTTTAGTATAGGTCAGATGTTTTCAGAAGATTTTCTGCTTAACTTTGAGTTACATCTTAACTTGTTCTGCTTTGTTTGATGTAGTCTGAAATATTTAGGTAGATATATAAGGTGAAATATGTAAGCTATGCTAATTCTCAATAAGTGTAGATTTGAAGGCTGAGCATGAGAATTTCAAGACCTTTTCCTTTCATTCAGCACAAGTAACTGTTATTATTTGGAGTAATTGTGCATATGTGGTGTTACACAGATGTCCAGAGTCCCCTCCTTAATTTAACCTTTGACCTCAACAGGATGTTTTCCTAGGAGAGAGAATCCCTTGTGTGAGAAGTATACCTGTCTGTTCAAGCTGGAATGTTGTGGTCTAGGCAGATTCAAACTAAAAATTTTGCATCTACTGAACTCTAAAGAGTAGTTAATATTAACTGAGCAGTAAAATTGAGAAACATGAAAGGTGCAGCTTCACTGAAGTAGTGGTTTTAGGAAAAACAAAAGACATCATGGTGACCATCAAAATAAAAGTATTTGTGAAATTCAGACTATGAAAGGAAGTTTTCAAAAGAGATTTAAAAATGTGTTGTTTCATTTCTAAGGACTGCGGTACTGCTAATAAAATTAATGGGAAGGATAACTGATGCTCAGTGTATGCTTTGTTAATGTACAAGCATTCACTATAATAGAGCCTATGGATGTTAAAAGTAGCAAAATATCTTCAAACTTGCATGTTTTCAGAAAAACCCTGCTGTTCTTAACTACATAAATCATCATTCTTTTTGCACCTGTTCAAAACCAGTAAATATTCTTACAAATGAATGTTGCTGGACCATAATAATTACCATGCAATACTGTTTGTAAAGATTTGTATCCTGTCTTGAAGGTACTCATTGGAAATGTTCAGTGTTGATTAGGCCTTTAAAAATACTAGAAATATCATCTTCATAGTTGATGCATATTTAACACTTATTAATTTAAATTACCATAGGAAAATAAATATTCTGGTTTATGCTATATCTTGGAATAATTCTATTCTTCTGGCTCAAATGTAGCAATCTAAAAGAGTCTCCAACCAGGCAATTTGGAAAAGTTTTCAGTTTATATATGTCTAGGTTTATTTCACACCTGTTTGGATTTTTCTTACCCATCACCATGACAGTTATTTTAAAGCATTTAAGGTATTTAAGTTTGAAAAGATAGAGTTAAATTAATGTTGTCTTATGAAAAACTGGCATCCCTTAAAATTGTTTGCTTAATCTTGTAATAAATGAAGGAATGAAGCAATGAAGTTTTTATCTCCTAAGTCTTCTATAGGTGTTTACTGAAATAATTTTTCACTCTTTTTACATATATTTTGAGCTAGATTGAACTAATTTATGACTCAATATGACCACTTACTGTTTAATATTTAATTATTTTAGTTAGTACTGGGTTTGATGTGAGCAAGTAAGTTGAACATTCTGAACATGGAACTGCAGGGTAAAAGTGTTCTTTCTTTACTGTGGCAGAATACAGCACAATCCACAGTCCATCCACCCCCATTAAAGACTCAGACTCAGACAGATTGCGTCGGAGCTCAGATGGGAAATCACGTGGACGTGGCAGAAGAAACAACAATCCTTCACCACCACCTGACTCTGATCTGGAGGTACTATATATTAAATGTCTTTGGCCTGTTACAGAACTTTATTTTTATCATTATTTTGCACAAACAAGTGCTATTTATGTATCAAAAATAAAGTGGCATTGAAACTCCCCTTTTCCTAACAGTATTTTCATTGAAAATAGGATTTTTCTTCTAAAGAAACTTCTTCAAGAAGAGCTTCTACTTCCTTGGAAAAATACTGGGTGTTTCTTTCTCCTTTTGATTAAACAAAGCAAACAAACAAACAAACCAAAACAAACCAAATGGGAAAAAACAAAGAAAGAAAAAAAAAGGAGCAATCTTTTCCCAAGGCAAAGAAAGGTTTTCAATTGGACAAGAGACACTTCTAGCACAATAGTGGGGTTTGTTCTCCCATGCCCTGTTCACATTCCTCCCAGTGGCCCATGGTTTATGTTGAGAACACATCTCCAATGACACACCACAGCTATGAGTGTCCACACTGCATTACTTTTCCTTTCCAGAAGCTTACCCATTTGTCATCATGGGAAATACAATCTCACCAGGATTTAAAATGTTTGTATTTGAACACTTTGTTTTTCATTAAGTTATCATTTTGTGTGTGGTCAGAGAACAAATTTAAAACACGTATTTTCCATTGTCTCTAAGCAAAAGAATTATTTACTGATGCCATAAGTTTTATGCATACATCATCCAAGCTCATAGTTTTTGTTCTTCAGATGCCTAAAATGCATGGAATTAACATAAGTTAGTTTTATAAAGAAATAAAGTGCTTAGCAGCAATCTGCTTTGCTTTGGTTTTAGAGGTAATTTTCAAGGGCACTTACATGAATTTTTGTAAGACTTTTGTTTTCTAAGACTGCAGAAATACAGAATTCTAACCCCAAAGATTTAATTTTCAGATGCTTCTCTTTGTTTATTTCTGTTTCTATCTCACATCAAGCTTCAAAAATTACATTTTACAGTTTCATTTTCTTTTTATATTTGACTAGACTATAATTCTATTCTAATAGAAGGATTTGATTTAATAGCAATTGTAGTAAAATGCTAACAGATTGTAGTACCCTATCCTGGAAAAAAAAAATACAAACAACTTGTTAGTTTTGAAAATAATGGCAGGGAAGCTATGGTTATAATATGCAACCATATCAGTACAATTTTCCCATTTTTGTGCTTACTGATTCAAATTTTAACTTTCCATTTCAAGTATTAGCTTCACAAAGGAACACATTGATTTGATTCTCTTTTTACAGAGAGTATTCATTTGGGATTTGGATGAGACAATCATCATTTTCCATTCCTTGCTTACAGGGTCCTATGCTAACAGATATGGAAGGGTAAGTGCCAAGAAACTGATGGAAATGTTCAGTAATATTTGCTGGTTTATGGTTGATACACAAGGAATGCCAGAACATTAGTTGATTTATAGAGGTAAACTGGTACTGGCTTTACAAGACAAAAAAATACCAAGCTGTTTCACATGTCCGTGCTTTGCAGTTGCTCAGCTCTTGTATTCAGTACATATTTAAATAATGTTGGGATACTTGATACTTGGGACACTCAAAGTTAATACTTTGACCACTTGAGGTTTGGTTTGTAGATACAGGTTGTCTGAAACCTGTTGATATCATCAAAATCTGCAAAGATCTGCATCTCCTCAGAGAGTTCCAGAAATTATTGCTATGATGGATTGGCTGTGCCCTGTGTTGAGAGGAAAAGAGGAAGAATGCTTTTGGACATGGCCAGATTAATCTAAAATTTTTTACCTTTGATTTTTTTTTTTTAATCTAAATATTGACTGATGTTTTCAAAAGTCTGCTTATGAGTCAAATCTTTATATTATGCACAGTCTATAAATCATAACTGAACTGATGAATATGTCTACAGACAGCAGATTTCCTTGTAATTCTCAGAAGAGAAACATGATTTTAGGCGAATAAGAACAGTTTATGGAAGGAATGTCCTTATGAGATCAGACTTCTTTTTGTCAGGATTGTATTTGAAAGTTAACAGCTTGTGCTAAAATCTGCTATAGCCTTTTATGTTCACCTCCTGTGAGTTTTAACTGCAATGTGATTTTTTGTTAACCTCAAAAATTTCTATGTGTAAAGAACAACTACATGGTTTTGTCAGGCTTCATGTAATGCCTCTGTCTTCTTGTAAAGCTTCTATTTAGCACTAAAAGATTTCACCCTACACCCAGATGAGTGAAGGGCAAAGCTAACCTCCAGTTCAGTCTGTGCCTGGGTCAGGTTCTGAGTTTCTCTCAATAGCTTTTTGCACTATACAAACCTAAAGCAATACTACTTTGCAACTTTTCTTGCTTGTTCAGGTAAGGTTTGTTTGCAGAAGTGTTTACTGTAATAACAGTGTACCTGTTTGAGGAATATAATTAGGTTTTTTCATTATATGTCAGAAAAGCAAGTTGATTCAGCAGCCTTGGTTTCCTAGGTGTTGTTAGTTTATATTTAGTTAATTCAGCAGCCTTGGTTTCCTAGGTGTTGTTAGTTTATATTTAGATAGTAAAAAGAAACTCGAACTTAAATGTTTCAACAATTCTTGTATGGATATGCAATTTAGCACTTACAAAAGAGTTTTAAATATTTACCAGAAGTTGTTTCCCATTTTTCAAACTAAAACCAGCTTTTGTGTGGTATCCCAAAATCTATGACAATTTAGTTCAGAATGAGGAGAACAAGTCCCAGTGGTTACAAAAAAGCTCAGTGACAACAGAATCCCAGTGCTCTCAAAAATGCTCAGTGACAACAAAATCTCAGCACTGGCTTTTGGCCAGCAGAGTAGCACTGGAAAAGCCTAATTAATCAGTCACTGCCATAGAAGTACTAATGTGAGCATATTTTTTCCACTTGTTACTAGTTCCCTGAAGTGGATCCATTAATTAGGAACTGAACATAAACACTTTATTGCTGGATGGTTGAAGTTGAGGAAAGTGGCTGGGATTCAGTTGCAAAGAGATATAAATATGTGTGCTGCAAGGAGGGGGCTGACTCCTGGTTGCAGCTCCATCACTGTTGGCACTGTTTACATAAAATGCAGCTTTTGCCCAGATGGCTCTGGTTTCATGGCATCTGGCACAATATTCCTGCACTGCTAAATGACAGCCAACTGTTGATGGTGAGAGGAATGATGGCATTGCTGCCTAATCTTTGGATAAATATGAAATCTTTTTGGTGAGGGGGAGCAACATGCCTGTCCATGGCCCTCAGATGATGTCATGAAACTGTGCCATTCTGATTTTGTTTTCTTAAGGTTTCATTCAAATCAGAGTTTCTCTTGGGCTATTGACAGCTTCAGACAACAGTTAGTAATTTCCAAGGATGTTAGAGAGACAGTGTCAAATGTTCAAGGCAAACATGCTAAAAGATGAGAATTTTAGGGTTTATTTGTGGCAGCAGAAGGTGCATGTTATTAAAAGTATTTGCCTGTGATTAATGGCCTTTAAAATCAAAAATCCAGACCATTAGTTAATCTGAAAAAAAAGGAAAGTTGAGGGGAATTATTGTTCTTTTCACCTCTATTCTTGTTTATGAGCAATCCAACATCATGTTCTTTTATAAATCTGCACTGTGGTGAGGGCTAGAAATGCCCTTTTAAAAAAATTAAATCTAGGGTGATCACATAATCATTAAAATACAAAAGCTGGATCTTCAAACAAACAAAAATGTCCTAATTAAATAATAGGGGATTTGGCAACTTGGCATTCAGCTCTTTTCATAATGCCTGAGCGAGTTTCATGGTGAATGACTATGAATGATGTTTGGCCTTGCTGCTGAAGGGATTGATTTTCTTTGCCTAATTCTCTCCCTCACTCTTCCTAACTTCTTCCTTGTGCCAGCTTTTTCTGTATCTTCTTACTTTTTCATCTGTTTTTATCACCTGCTCTCCTTTAGCTGTTATTGTGCTCTTTTTTCCTCCTGCTTTTTTCCTTCAGTTTTGTTGTAATATAATAACACCATTTTTTTCAGTTTATGCAGTCATGGCAAAAAATACTCCATAAAGCACTGCATTTTTATTTAAGGATTATTTGAATTTAGTGAATTTACTGGAAATGCATGAAACTCTAAGAATATGCCCTTCCAGAAGATTAGACAAAAAAACCCAAAACATTTTTATTTGCTTTTGGATTTTTTTAACTATGTACAGAGAGAGATGTATTGATCAAATATAAAGTTACCAGTTAGTTTAATTCACATTAGGGCTGATTAAGTTTTGGCATTTGGAAAAAGTTGGAGCCCTTTAAGATCTTGGGGCAGGTGAAAATACATCTCAGCATTGGCACGGAATACTGTGGTCTTTACATACATTTCCATCCCCAGTGAAAGCAGTTATATGCAGAGGTTTTAAAGGAATTTTCCTTTAAATTATAAGCTATTTTATTGTGGTTTAATATACTTTAGAGATAGAGAAAAACAAAGCCTGGTTTCACTTAACCCTTCATTGTGACCTGTAGGCTTAAGTGGAAAATAAGCCTGGTACCCAAAGTGAACTTTCCTGTTTTTCAGCTTCTTGTTTCTCCACAAAACAAAGAAATCAAGTAGGTAGAATTTAGAAATGACATACAGGCAATGTTTTGGCTCCAATGCCAGTATTCAAAACAAAAGGCCTACTTAAGCAGTTTGACATTGGTATTTCTTTTCTTTAGTCAAACTGTACCTCCCTCAGAGATTTGTACCTGATTTTGACCATACCTGAAAAGACACTGACTGAACCTGCAAATCCCAGGCAACAAGAGGAGATTGTTAACTTTCCTACTCATTGTGTGACACCTCACAATAATTAGTTAGCAATTAGTGGCTTAAAATTGCAAAAGAAGGTTGGGTATGGGATTATTTTTTTAAAACTTTGTTCTAGCCTTGTCTTTTTTTAAAGTTTACAGCCCCCTCTGTAATGTCTGATGGCAGAGTTTGATACCCTATGATGCTTTAAACCAAGGTTCTTGTGCTTTTCATTAGAGTAGTTGCAAGTTTGTGACTACACAGGTATTTAAAATGTTAATGCAGATAAGGTTTTTGCTTCTGTTAAACATGTAGCTACCAAGAGCCACAGTTTAACATAGTTTTTGTGTTAAGTAGAACTGCCTATATAAAAATATTGTATTTAAACTAGGAGTCAAGCTTTCTTTGAAAAGCAATCCATTTAGTTTGGATTTATTTAATCTGACACTTTCAGTAGGTGCCAATGAGTTTCTTACATTTTTCTGCCTAATGAAATTAACCTAATAAATGACATTATTTTAGTATTACTTTGGAGAAAACCATTCTATTTCTGCCATGTAAAAATACCTTGGAGTAAAATGGGTAGAAAGCTTTTTATAGACAAAACCCCCTTTTTACAGACTCAGAAATGTGATAAAAATGTTCAATAATAGTAAAAGCAAGTCATGTACACTGAAATGTAAAATATATATTTGCAGCCATTAGTCTGGCTGCAAAATGAGTCAAATGAGTTCATAACCAGCATCATGCTCTGTTCCCCATTTATTCTGCTTTTCAAAATGACATTCCTATTTAGGGATGGAAGTCAGAAGGGAATTATTTCTACCTTGTTGCATTAGTAGTTGATACTCAAGATGTAGCTAGTGATCTTCATTTGCATCTTGGACCTTTAGCCCATCTAATTCCTTTAATAGTAGCGCAGAGGCTCCTGAGAGGTGTCTTCTGTTACTGCTCAGGCACAACAAAAATCTTTGTCTGTTTAAAAAAAAAAGAAGCCCGATGAGCTGTGTAGGATGGTGAGGTGCTAACTGGGCACAAAGATAAGCAGAAATGTCAATGGGAAAAGAAGCCTCAGGCCCAGCTAGAGAGAAAATACCACCTGCCTTCCACCTCACATGCCTACAAAAGTAAAGCAGAGGAAGGTATCGGTCTACAAATAGAGCAACATTAAAACAGAGAGACGGAATACTTTTGTTCATATTTCAAAGTGTTTCCATTTGAACTAAGAAGCCAAATATTCCTTTTTTTTTTTCTTTTTTTTTTTTTTTTTTTTTTTTGCTGTGCCAGATTAAATAAAAGACTTATTTTTAAGGGCAAACAGGCTGCCAAATCACCATTCTTTTCCAGCTCTTCACTAGTGACACATTTTGCCTTTTTAACCAGTAGTTACAGAAAAATGTTTGAAAGTTCAGAGATCATGTTGAAGCATCTATTAATTTGATTTAGAGGTGGAAAAAGAAACTAATGACTGCATCTCTTGCTTTTTAACTGTGACTTGTCATCAAGTTTAGAATATTAGCTTATTTTAAGTAAAATATGGGTTGCCACTTCTTCAGTTCTATTTAAAATATAATTCCTAACAAACTAACATTATTAATAGAGGCTGTTATGGGATACTATAACATGTTCTTTCAAACTCATGCTCCTGTGCTCTTGGATAGACTTGGCATTATAAATGAGAAACTCTATATCAAATGTATGTATTAGGCTCTCTTTTCGATTTTTCAGATTGAAAATATATAAAACAGCAAAAAAATCAAAACAAGACAAACATCTGTAATGCATTTGGTAACCACAATGCTGAACATGCTTTTTGAGTTTATTAGCTCAGTGAGGAGTAAGTTGTTATGGTAATTTCTGTAGAGAAGTTAAAGTGTGTTATGTATTAATAACAAACAATAGTTTTGTTCACTCTGCATGGGTGGGCCAAGCTGTAAACATAATTAAACCTTTTTTGACAATCAAGGAGTGGTTTTAAATAGAATTACCATTTGCAAATAAAACATCAATTGTTCTTTGCTTTAAAGTCACTAGGTATTCCCAGGGCTGAAACCTGTCATTTGTGACCAGTTTATTTTGGGTAACAATAGTATTATCATACCCCTGCTTGATCATAAAACTTGTGAACAGTTGTAGAATCTGGAGAAGTTTTAGCTGAAATTGATTTGCCCTTTCTGCACAGAGAGCAAAGACCCAGTGCCAAGGATGCATGAGGGGGACCACAGAAGTCCCACTGCAAAATCAAGGAGTCAGTTGAGTTTAAGGCACATTTTTGAGTGTTACTGGGAAGTGTTGTAGTACAGGGTAAGAGAGTTACCGAACTGAAACTGACAAAGCAGATGTAGCATTTGATACAAGCATTATGTTATGAAAAGCTGTTCCTCCAGTTTGTATTTGGGTATATGTGTTAGGCACAGTATTGATGGTGTACTTGCTTAATTTCTTCTTTAAGGATCCTCCCACTTCTGTGTCCCTTGGACTCCGAATGGAAGAGATGATTTTCAATTTGGCGGACACACATCTGTTCTTTAACGATTTAGAAGTAAGTGTTCATTCTTTTAAAACACACAGAGATGATCTAATATTTGATATTTGTCTGGTTTTATGTGTTGTTAGATGCTTTGACAATTATTTGCAGGGTTTCAATACAGAAATGCTTAGAAAATAGCTATATCATTTAGTCATTAGGATATATGATAATATCTACACTAAATGTCTGCACTGGCCTTCAAAGGTTACTGCAGTTTAAATGGTAGAGTTTTGTCCTCACAGGTTTTAGCACTTATGATGACAGTAGACAAGTTTCAGAAGTGGATGCACCGAAAGAGCTATAAACATACAGAATTCAATAGTCTGCACAGGCCATTAAATATTAAATTCCAGCTTCTATAAACAGTTGATGGTTGGGTACAGATTTCTTGCTTACATCCCACGGTGGGCAAGTGTTACCTTAGCCCCAAGGGACATGATAAATGTTGTATGGGCTGTCTGTGGGCTGTTCCTGGGGCTGCTGTGCCTGCAGCAGGCACGGGGCGTTCTGTGCCAGGGTCCCTCTGCCTGCAGCGAGGAGCTGTGGGTGCCTTGCCAAGGGATTTTTTAGCCTACACAGCCTATGGTTTGGCAATGCTTGGGAGATCCTTCCAGAGCTGTCCAAACTGCTGAAAGAGACTGTCACTCTAATGCCTGGCTGTTTCATCTTAAAAGGGAAAAAAGTAATTTCTGATCACATTTTCATAATGCAAAAACATGAAAACAGTCAGATTTCTTTCCCATCATAGTGAAGACAGCTGTTTATTTAAAATCCAGCTGTTAAGCAAGCTTGTGGTGGGGCTGCCAACACACATTAATCATCAAGTTGTTGTTTTGCTAGATTTTAGAATAGTGTGTTATTCCAGACAGCAAAAGAATCTAAAAGATTCAAATGCAACTTTTGCTGATCAAAGTTAATTGGCAGCAATTGGCCTTTAAATATTTCCTGATGTTTCCCTTTTCAAAATCAAGCAAAATACACCTTATTCAATAGATGAGCCAAAATAATTTGAAAAATGCCAGTGTATGATAGACCTCAAATGTGGTTTGTCCAACATCTGTCCTATATTTTGATTTCTTTTCATCTAAAAAGAAACCACTCACAGATGATTTGGCATCTTAGAATGTAATGAAATTATTGAACATGTTTTTTTTTCTTCCATTCCTTAGAGTATTTATTTTTTATACTTACAGTAAAATGACTGGTTTCTTTAAATTTTGAAGTAGCATTTTCTTCCATTAAGGTGGTATTTAAAGATATGATTGTTTTGGATATAAGAAGCACCAATGAGTTGCCTGTATAAGACTTATTTTTCAGATTTATCTAAAAATATAACAATGCTAGTTATTTTTCAACTCTGTTTCTGATTATGTTTCATTTTAACCAGAGCAGAATGAAAAAGTACTACTCTTTCTGTATTTAAAGATATTTAATAAAGTTCAGTGTGTTTTCATTTGCTATGCAGAGCCAGATATGTAGCCACTTCATACAGGATTATCAACCTCACTGACTTTAATGGAAGTTAATCAACCACATCTTAGGGGTGGTAGATTATCTTCTGCTAATAGACATGTTGCAGCCTTAACAATAGAGCACAGTAGTTCATTCACTCAAGAACTTTGAAGCTGTGTATGAGAAAACAGCTGCTGGTTCATGGAGGCAGAGGAGCTCATGCTAAGCCTGATTCTTTGCATTTCCCCCATAACAAGCCAGTTTATGTTGTATGTCCAAACTGAAGTGCAATAATTAGTGTCTATACCCTGGCCTGCCTTCCTCACACATAGAAGCACCCAGGAGTGAGCAGCTGTGTGCTTGTCCTTGTACACCAGCCCTAATCCTCATGGCTGGGGAACAGGAGCTCCAGTCTGAGGGATCATGCCTTGTCCTAGGGGTGAAGAGCACGTTCAGTGTGCATGGACAAGCCTTCAGAGCACACAGTGAAAGGCTGTAAGGGAGCCTGTACTTTGTGGAAAGCTGCATGTAAGGACTAGACTTCATCACAGACTGGGGCTTTCAGTTCACCAGCAGTGACACAGTTTTTTGAACATGTCACAGAAATGTGGTGTTCTTGAAGGAGCATGTCCTCCTGGAGCCACAGTTTGTCATTCTTGTGAGCATCATCATTGAACTAGCAGGGCCAGCTGGTTTCCCAAAGGCTCTGACCTCAGGGCAGATTCCTCACATCCATCTCAGAAACTCAAAAGTCCTTGCTTGGTGGTTTGGAGTTCAGGCTGCTCACAGCCTGACAGGCTTCCAGCAAAACTGTGGACAATTTGGTTTGGATATGCTTCAGGCCTAAAGCATCTATTCTCACTGATGAAGAACTGAGTCTGAAAGATCTAGCTCAGGTCTAAGCTTTCCAGTTCATCAGCACAAGTATCTGGGCTCTTGGGATTGAAAACATTTGTAGGCACGTTGCCTGTGAGCTGCAGAGCTTGGGTATCCATGCCCAGCAATAGTATGAAGAACAGCAAAGCAGGATTTGGAACATATCTAACCCACAGAGTAGATGTGTCTTTGAACCTAGGCTTAATTCAAAGTGGGAAAGTGAAAGCTGATGCCCTCTGTCTCACCCAGGCTCAGAGGGAACCCTTCTTGGCACATAGAGAGGCAGCTTTTAAAGGCAGGCAATCATCTGTCATAGCTTTGGCCTATGATGCACATTTTTCCAGATACCACAAGTTAATATTTTTAAATAAAAAAATCTTTCATCCAACATTCCAGAAAACTCTATGATCAGAATAACTCTCTTGTTATCCAAGTGAAAATACTTTTTCATCTTATAAAATGCTGAAGTCTGATTGAACATTTTGAATGCAAAGGACAGAGTTGCAGAAGTCATCTCTGAAGCACAGTTTGATTTATGTATGACCTAACTGGCTTTTCAAAGTTCAGCCTAGAGATTTAGTAATGTTATTAGGTTAAATTCTACAGTAGTCAATTTTTAGTCTGTGTAAAGTGCCAATGTGTATCAGTTGAATTTAGTAGGGGATACAGCCGGGTAAATGAATAATTTATTTTTATGTATGTTGTTCTTTATATAATAATAATAATAATAATAATAATAATAATAATAATAATAATAATAATAATAATAATAAAACTTGTAATTGAAAATTTCAAACTCATTGAAAAAGTTCAGTCAGATCTCACTATCTAGCTTTGAAGTCAGTATTCTGTTTCTGGATAGGTAAACTACAGTTAGATTTGCACCCTTGCACTAGTTCTTGCTTTGAAAAAAAATAAAATAAATTGCTTATTTCTTTCACTTTTCACAGATTTATTTGGAGTAATTAATTCCAAAGTGATTTAAGAGCAAACAATTTCTGATCTTCAGGAATATTCCTTAAACAGCATGTTAAAGGGATATGAAAAGATTTTTAACATACTGAAAGGAAAAATATTAATGTTTACTTATGTATAATTCGATCTAAGTACCATAATAAACAGCATTTTCATGCATTAGCAGTAATTTCATAATGAAATTAGAGAAGTGTACTAGGCTAAACAGTAGAAGATAGTGCAGTGTTCTAAAAATTTTGATTCCAAAATCTGCATTTGGGTTTCTGAACAAGAGCTTTTGGTTTTCAGTATTGAAGTTTTTTATGTAAATGTCTCATACTCTCTGTTTTATAGTTGAATATTAATTGTGTGCAAGAGGGAATAACTACATTAATGTAGTGCCCTCAAGAGAACCACAGTTATCTCATCTGAAAAAAAAAGTTTGATTTTGCATGCTGATTATGTTGTGATAGAGATAATAAGGTATAATATTTTAAAGGTCTATATGGAGCAATTATACATATTATGTATTTGAGGGGGCATGCTCCGGTGTTTTAGGGAAATGAACAACTTGATGATAGGACTGACATGTGACATCCACAGAGGTGATCAGCTCTGGTGCAGGTGTGTTCTGCAGCAGAGCAGGGGAGAGTGGCTCACAGGGAATGTGAGCTCCTTCCTCAGCCAGGGAAGGCCCAGGGGGGCACAGAGACCCACCAGGAGCCGGCTGCTCTTATGAGAGTGGCTTACTCTCCTGGCATGTGCAAGGCCAGGAGGAATGGTGGCCAAGCCCTCTTCCCAAAGTAGGCAGCCCTAGTGAGCACTGTGGCCAGGAGCACGTGGCCAGGGCAGGCAGACAGGTCATGATGTAGCAGTTTGCTTGGCAGGGTGTGCAGGGAAGGTGACAACGCAGAGGAGGGACATCCACTGGCCAAGTGCAGACACGTGAAGTCCGCCAGCAGCCAAGCACCATTCTGTAGCCATCTGCACAGGTCAGGGGCTCTCATCCCACCTGACTCCCAGGGCAGAATGGGGGGCACTCATCTGAGAGCAAGGCTGCAGCTCAGATGGGGGATCTGCACCATCTGTCCTGACAGCGGCCAATGCCTCCACGCAGGCAGGGCTGCTGAAGGACAAGACTGCAGTGCAGAATTCAGACTGCAGAAAGTGAATAGAGGCTTCTCCTGAGGCAGGGACAGGACAGCAGACCTGCCTGCCAAAGGTATGGCAGGTGGCTGAGCTACAGGAGGCAGCAGGAAGACTGCATAGCATCAGGGTGGCTGAGGAGGAGTTGTATAGCTGGTTCAGTGGAATTGCATTGCTTCCAAGTGCAGTCTGCAGCAGACCCACAGCCCATGACCAAACAGCCAAAACCTCCCCCACTGGCACAAACAGAAGGGGGGGGAGCAGAATGTAAGCAAGGACCTGCAGGAGGAAGACGCCTCCCCAAAACCTGAGGTGCCCCTGCAGAACTGCTTCACTGCTGTGCAGATTGAAAAGGAGAGACACATCACACAGGAGAGATGCTGGAGCTGAGTAAGGAGCCTGACCCCATAACCCCCCCATGTAACAATGACAGCAACTAGGAGAAGGAGAGAGGTGATAGTAGTAGGTAACTCACTTCTGAGAGTCTTATTTGCCAGCATCAGGTGCTCTCTAGAGAGGTGTGATGTTTGCCAGAGCCTTGTATTAGGGGTATGTCCCTTGGGGTGTGCCCCCAAGACAGGGTG